TTTCAGAGCTTAGATTGATGTAAATGCTTTGCTGCTATGGATTTGTTCTGGTCACTTTCATGAAAATGTTGAAGTGTTTTCTCCATGCCTTCTTATGCTGTATTTGCACTTAAGTAATACAATATGGTAAGGACTTTGAAATAAATTATATCTCCAGACACACAATGTTAGGTGGATCGATAAATGCCCTATGACGTCTACTATACATCGTAAAATGTCTATCATAGCCTGTTTAACAAAGCTTTTCTTCTTGGACACCAAGAATTTCATTCAAAGAATTTTACATATTGCATTACTTATCAAAACAGAGGGTATGTAAACCTTGACATTTGTTAAAAGACCCAGGCTTTAACCAAAAAAGACCAGAACAAATCAATAGCAGAAAACAGATTAAACAACAGAAATGTGACTGCTTAGAAATAGAAGCATGTGAGCTTAACCCAAGACAAGCTTTCAACATGTACTCAAAAGAAATGGTTATTTGATATATACAGGCACCTGAAAATCTCCCAAACTATACTGGAGCTTCATATAGGCAATGCTACAATTAAATGAACATACAGTAAATAACTGTTACAGCCTGTCTTCCAAGCCTTATTTGGGATAGGAGAAGTTAAATTGCTTTTCTTGGCTAAGATTTTGTTTCCATATGAGGGGGCATTAGAATAACTGTATATCATGTAAAATTGTACTTAATACACTCACCAGGTTCTATTTAATTCCAGTACCAGTAATGGTAAAAGTTATTACTATTATAGAATCATAGAACCATAGAATCATAGAACAGTTAGGATTGGAAATTACCTTAAGGTCATCTAGTTCCAACTCCCCTGCCACAGACAGGGAGACCTACTTTATTAACATTACTACTGTTACTGTTAGTATTATTGCTATTATTCCTATTATTGTTATAAAAAATATCAGTACTTTATAAAATAAAAAAATCAGGAGTTTTAATAGGTCTAATTTATACTTAGTAAAGATACTTATATCTTGAAGCAATGTGAATCCTTCTGGTTTTGCCTTTGGGTAAGTCCCACTTCAATTATAGTCATGGAGCATAACATGAAAAGAAAATATCATGATCATGTTTAAAATTACTCATAAACCACAAATACACACATGCCAATCTGTGTGTGTATGTTCACATATTAATTACATATATGCCTTACAAATATCTTTACATTGATGGCAAAATATAACTGTAGATATCACCTTTTATTTTTTCAGTTAAAAAGTTCTGATAGCAGTTATTTTTATTCACTTATATATGCTAATACATGAACTGTTCATTTGCAAGACACATTGCAGTTTAGGAGGAAATGAAGGTATTGCAAATCCAATCTTGCTGGAAAAACTGCTTACATTATTAGTCATGCAGTGAGAGAAAAATATAAGATCTCCCTTAAAAAATATATAAAGGTGCAAAGTAAGACTTTAAAATAAAGTGTGCCCCAAAAAACAGTTAAAAGAACAGATTCAGATATTTTACATTTTAATAATACCTCAGTATTGATCTTGAAGCACTTCAAGTATATGCTCAGTAGAACATTCAAAAAAAAAATGCAAAATGCAGTCATTTTTTTTTGGTGAATCTTTGCTTTATTTATTTCTGTACATTGAACTAAATATCCACTCCACTTTTTATTACTTTCTCCCTTGTTCTTAAAATAAAAAAGATCTCATAAAGCAATAAAATTGCATAACTGCCCCGAGCAGGCATAAACATACTTATGTCCAAGGAGAAGTAAAGCATAATAAATATAAGTAAAGGTAACAGATATAAATGAAACAAATATAATAAGCTTTTTTTTTTTTTGTTTGGTTTGGTTTTGGGTTTTTTGTTTTTTGGTTTTGGTTGGGGTTTTTTGGTTGGTTGGTTGGTTGGTTTCGGTTCGGTTTTTTGGTTTTGTTTTTGTTTGTTTTGTGGTTTTTTTTAAGAAAATTAATACTGTATTTTAAAGGAACATTTCTAAGTGTTCTAGTTTCTTTGAACTAATTCAGCATGGCATTGTCATCCTTTACCAGAGTCTCTAGTCTTCTGTCATCTACTTGATCTTGAGAAAACTCTAACCATTTGCTAATGGAACTGTCCTTATTGAATATTTCTGAAGGAAAAAAAAATTGCCCATTTGAATAATAATGTAGAATCAGAAAGCCTATTTTAAATACAGGTATTGACACCAAGTAATCGTGTTTTAGTTTTAATTTGTATATGGTATCTTTACTTCTTGCAAGACCCTACCTAGATGTTTAATTTACACTTAAGTTCAAAGCTGTTCTTACTTCACTGCAAGAATGTTCATACCAAGAGTTTCACTGAAACTGCAAAAGACGTGAATTAAAAATAAGCATAGTAATTGTGGGCACGTATGATAAATCCAGCAAGTCCTAAATTGTAGTGCATTCCATTCCTGTATTTTTTTTTTATTCTGTTTTCAGTCATAATTATAATTTAAGCGACTAGCAGTTTAAGTATAATATTTGAGAATTAGGTATAATATGAATAGGAGTAAGCAAACCTCACTGTGCTCATATGCAGGTCTAACTCATATCTTTGAGAATTCCTCTTCAGGGAATAGGCAGTTGGATTTCTATGCCAATTCCATTTTTCTTCACTACAGTTAGACTGGTCACTGGAACAGCAACATTGATAGTAATACCCACCTCTTAGTACTATTTACTAAATATAAAAAGTGCTATATCAGAAATGCAAGCATAATTATGCTCATTTCAAAGATGGGAAGATGGGACATACAAGGGGAGTGATTTACAGTGATTTACAACAAACTTGTCTTGTAGATATAGTTGATCATTCCTTATAGTGTTTTTATTTTATTCGGCTGACAGTGCCGAGAACTTTATGAAGGATGGAAAGAAAGAATACAGAGTAGTCTATGCTTTAATCCTGTCTTTCTAGGTCACTAGTGTGTAGCAAATTTTAAAGTAGACCCTAGGAAATATAACCAGCACTTCAGGATAGATAAAGAAAAAGGGACCTGTGCCTTTCAGAATTTGGGATAGCCTCTGATTTATTAACATGCATTCAAGGGAGCAGAGTCTACAGCTTTAGAGTACCTGACATTTTCCTGCCTTCAGCTGAGGAAAGTGTCCTGCTCTGTTACTGAGGGCCTACGAATCCTGAGCTTAGATTCTCACAGACATCTAAAAACTTGTTTTGTTCAGGCAGTTTATATTCACTCAAAGTTAATAAGTTATTACATTTTGCTCACAAGATATTTGACTGTGTTGCCATCTAAACAATGCAAAACTGAGTTGCAATTAACTTTTGAGTCTGAAGTTTAGACAAGCAGAATTCATGGTATGACAAATGTGGCTGTTATTCTGCCAAAATAAAAGGTTATATTAGTAATTTATGAAGACTTTTCACAAGTTTCTTGCAAAAAAATATGGCAGGTCTTTGGGGATTTTATTTTTCTGTAATAATAATAATATGCATTTCATAGTAATGGGAAGACAAAATATCCCTTGCAATGAATTCTGTGTAAGTGGAAAGCCAGAAAACCTGCAAACTTCTAAAGTCCATTGTGAAAATGATATCTAGCACTACAGAGAGATTCATAAACAAGTGAGGTTATTAGTCCAGAAATAATACAGATTAGGCAATTATGATGAGATTGGCTTCCTGTTTTGCTACATTAACTCTATCACTTCTAAACTAATTTTCAAATTTATTCTTACTGATGGTTTTTGTTCTGTCGTTTATTCTGCTTTTAAAAGAATATAATAGCAAATATTTGTTTTGTTGAAATATAGAAATAAATAACTGCTATGTTGTCCTTATCGTTGATGCAATACCTGTTTCCCTTTTATTTGTTTTTTATTATTATTATTCTTTTTGTTGTTTAACAATGTTTTCAACTTCATAAAACATCTTTTAGATTAAAGGGGGTACATGGAAAAGGGAAGTGTAGGCTGGGAAAAGCTCCTGACGTTTAGATCTAGCAGACTACAGAAAAGCATCCATGAGAAAACAGAGATGTTCTTCCTGTCTGAAATGTATAGCTATGTTTTTTATATTAATAAATAGAATTATATTCAGCCATATGATTTAAGCTTTTAATTTTGGGGACTATTTATTGTGAAAAATTTATTTTTGCTATTGAACAGTACTAAAAAGTTGAAATATCAAAAATGCTAAAAATATGCAATTAGTAAGCTTTTGCTTTAATAGGTGGCAAAAATGTGTTTGTAAAATTTTTATTTGATAAGCTGTGATAATTTTAGATAAATATAGATGTGTAAAAAAACCCTGTTCTACTGTGAATATCATATCATTCACTTGCACAGTTTGTCTTCCACAGATGCTATCTTCCTTACAGATATCTTAGAAAGGTATTTCCATCTGTAAAGCAATGATTTTTGTAAAATAAGAATCATATCTTTTCTTAGGTATACTGGTTATTTTATTTAAATAATTAAGGGTTTTGTAGAAACTAAATTACTCAAGCATCTGTATGCATGACTGTGAAAGTGATTATTTCACTTAATTTTATGTGTGTTTATATTTGCTGTGGCACCATTCAGCGCCAAATTTAAGTATTCCTGGGTCTGAAAAAAAAATAAATCCTCTTATATTTGTTCTAATATAGTTGAAGAAGAACTTTTAATTAGATGTATGTTATGAACTAATTCTCCATTCACTTGAAGGATGGATGACATTACTAGTTTCTATGTCAAAGGCACTGAGTATCTGTGTATGTGTTTAAAATATGCTTAAAATGGACAGTGGTGCTTTTAAAAATATCATTTTGTGTAGTAATTTTACTGCCTATTTTGATAAAGAGATTGTTCTTTAAAAAGTACTATCTTGTGAAAATGCTTGTATTTCTTTTAAAACAGTGAGCAATAATTATGAAAGTTCTGTGCTATCAAATTAGACATATTAATGTGTATTATTGTCTTAAAAAGAATATGATGCAGTAAAATTTAGGGAGTTTTGTTTGCTTTTTAATTTCATGTGTATATTTATTGCCTAGAAAAGAATATACCTACTCCAGAAAAATCATGTTTGGGTCCATCTCGTAAACAGCGGATATCATTTCGAGACCATCCAGTGCAGTTCAGCGGAGGATGGGGAGCAGGCAAAAAAAGGACAAAGCTTAAAAATATTGGAGATAATTTAACTAGTTGATTTAATCCAGCATGGAGAGCATATGGAGAGATGTTTCTTTGTAAGCCTATGAATATTAATTTTTGGATTCTCATTTAGTACCAATATAAAGAGTTTCCATTAACTACGTTTGACATTTTTTATTATACATGGTTTCAGTGGTTTGGGTTGCTTTTGTTTTGGTCAAAGTATTTTATACCTGTCAGTAAGTTATCATAGTTTGTGTTTTCAATTACTTGTATGTTCATGTTTTGTAGAATGCAGAGCTGACTAACCCTACAAGGATTGTTGTAAAGTGAATAAGTTTAGGATTGCTTATAACAAGTGGTTGAGATGTGCAAATTTAATAGTGGTTCATGCTCATGTGATATATGTCACATATCAAAACAGTGAATTCTCATTTTCTCACAAATAAAATACATGTTTGCAAACTGTTGTGAGCAATGCCATTCTTGGAAAAATCTGTTTAGAATATCTCTCTGAAGCAGCAAAAATTCACAGCTATCTACAAATGGTGGAGATACACTCATCTTTTTATTTTAGTAACATGATAAGTCCTCTAGAGCTAAATTATGGTCATAATATGCTAAAGCAACCTGTTTATAGTCTTATGCTTTCAAAGACTTCTAACATTTTCATAGAGGCCTAAAGAAAAAAATAAATTTACTGAGTTCTCATTTTGTTCTGGGATAATATAACATTACTTCTACATGACACTGTTAACCCAACTTTCTTTGTTCATGTAGCCAGATTCCTTCAGATCTGTGTGTGAAAGTTTTGTGGTACAACAAGATGTAGAGAAAGAAAAGAAACACTATATCAACTGTGTACGGGTATCTGACTCATTACTTCTACTGAATGCTTTGTCCATCAACATACAGGACAGAAAATGGTCTTTGATTTCAAAGCCTAGCATTTTAATGTTTTCTACTTTGAGGGTAGAAGTTGCTAATTGGATCTAGAGAAGTCTGTCTTTGATATCTCCTCTATCTTTTCCAATATTGTGAAGCCTCAACCTGCAACAGATTGAGAGAAGTGGGGAGGTTAATGGAGCCTGAATCTTCGGTCAGTGAAGAATATAAATTCTAATGCTGTGGCTGTTTTAAATATGTACTTAATATGACATTATTTTGTGAGGTGCTTTTTATGCTAACATACATATGACTATGGATTGAAACAGTTATCTCATTTTTGTGAATACTTGCATCTACATTCATATTAAAAAATGGTTGACCTCATGGAAAACCTCATTTGAATCAGTGTGGTGAGCTTAGGGGTTTTTAACATTTTAGTTTTTTTACATGTTTATCATTTTACTTTTGAAAAGTCACTGCTGCCTACTTCAGAAAAGATTTCTCTACATTTCTGAAGAATGATGGTCACAGAAGATTGCTCAGCCTGGCTGTAGAAATGCTGTGGTTGTCAGCAGGGTATAAAATATCACTAGGTGCTTGTGTCATCTAGTTAGTTTCCCAATGTATGTTGCAAGCGTTAAAATTGATTTCCAGATCTGCTGTATAATGACTTTTAAATGTCACCACCTAAGACCTTTTTCTTTATAATTTCAATTGTATTATCAAGGATATAAGTTTTGTAGGGAAAACTTTGTTAGTTCAAAATGCCTGCCCCTATATGTGGCAGTGCAGTCAGTAAATAGATTCTCCACCATCACAGGTGTTAATTTGAGATCAAAATGCAAAATCAAGGAGTTCACAGTTTAGCAGTTCTTGCAGATTATTCTGTTTGCCTAGAGTATCCATAACATACTGCACATCATCACAACAGTAAATAAGAGAACTATATTTCATATTTCATAAATCTGTCTGCATCTATATCATCTATACCTACCTTTATATCTACAAAAATTCGACTGTGTAAAAGTCTTCATACCTGATCTCTCTTGCTTTCCAGGTGTTTCTAAATGAGAAATACCTCCAAGCCTAAATAAAATGTTTTGGCAACATTTAAAAAAATCTTTTGTTTTGAAAAGACAAAATAGCAACTTTTTAATGTACAATTTACAAAACTATATTCACTGGCATGCTCTTTCAGGTTTGTTAGCATACTTAATCTGCTGTCCCCTAAATTCATACTGTTATGCATAGATTAACTACTATACTCAACAGAAATTAAGTTATAAAGTATGCCAAAGCATGTTGCTGTTTTCATTACATGATATTGAGTTGTGTAAAAGGTTGATGTCTTATTGTATCCAATGTAAGTAGAGTGTGTCTAGTCAAATATGGGTAAATGTGCAAGGTGCAACTTCTGTTCAAGCTATCAGACAGATAGACCTTATTCCTTTGAGGAACAAGGTGAAGCAACCCTAAATCTGGGCAAATGCCTGCTGTTCATAGTCACATCTTATAGTATGTAACGTCAGAGGTAACGCGAATGTTGCACAGGGTGACATATTTATGACATGAATTTTTCAAGCCCTGTTCTGCAAAGCAGAAGGGTGTTTCATGCTTTCTTTGTTTTTCTTGTGTTTTCTTTTCATTCTCTCTTTTTTCTTCTTAATTTTCTTTTGCTCTTTTTCTTTTCCCTTCTTTTCTTTATCCCCTCCATCAGTACCCCCCAACAGAGCAATTCCCATTTAGGACAAGAACATAATCTTAAAAGTATATTTCTCTGGCAATCTGTTCTGGTGGTAGTGTGGCTGTGAGTAACAGTGACAGCCCATCAAAACCTGCACCACAAAGCCCCTAAACTGTATGTTTCTAGGTGTGCTACTGCCTTTGTGGTGCTCCAGAGCTCTTCACCTCTCACTAGCACCATTTCAGTACTTTTTTTCTGTTCCCTGTAGATCCTTTAACATGAAGCAGGAGGGACTTCATGGGAATAAGCTCTTTAAAAAATGCTTCTCAAATCTATGAAGATCCTTTCTCAGGAATGTAGAAAAGCCTTCATTCAAAATTAAGAATGAAACAACCGAGGTACATTTATGCATTGATCCTTTGATGGGTGTCATTAGCTAAATCTAATTGAAAAGCTTTTTGCAGCTCTCCTGGTTGGGTCCCTGGAGTGTCTTTTCCTGTACAATTTACTAAAGGTCTGCACAGCAATTCCTTAAACCCTTGGTCTTTAAACGGTGATGTTAGGATCATCATTATCTCCTGCAACAGAAAAAAAGTGTTCCCCAAAATACATGTTCTGAATGAGAAAGAGGTGTTAATGGTGCTCAGATTACCAAACCTGAATGAGAAAACACCCTAATGAGAAAACACCCTAAGGAAGTGTTTCTCACTGAATAACGGGCAGATTTTCCTACTTACATGTTAAGACACTCTAACAGTAAACTTGCTGAATCACAAAATTATTGCTCAGATTTATTTTAACAGATCTGTAAATTGCAGGGAGCCCATGTATCTATAGCATAGATATTGCTTTGGTGTAGGGTGAGTTAGTGTCACATTTTGACTTATAAATAATTATTAATAACCTATTATTCAAACATGCATTCATTAAAGAAGTCTCTGCTATACACACTGTTCACATTTTTTAAACACATCACAGGTGGTGTCCAAATCCGGCCTCAGACAGATGGGTGAAAAACTGCCACTTGTTCTCCCACTAGGAACTCTGAGGAATAGTGTCATATAGAATCATAGAATCAACTAGATTGGAAAAGACCTTTAAGATCAAGTCCAACCTGTACACCAGGACTGCCAAGTCAACCACCAAACCGTGTCACTAAGGCCCTCATTTACATATTTTTTTAACATTTTCAAGGATGGTGATTCCACCACTTTTCTGGACAGCCTGTTCCAATGCCTGTTCACCCTCTCAGTGAAGAAAATTTCCCTAATATCTACTCTAAACCTCCCCCGGTGCAACCTCTTGTTCTATCACTTGTTACTTGGGAAAAGAGACTGATCCCCACCTAACTACAACCTCCTTTCAGGTAGTTGTAGAGAGCGATAAGGTCCCCCCTGAGCCTCTTCTTCTCCAGACTAAACAACTCCAGTTCCCTCAGCTATTCCTCATAAAACCTGTTCTCCAATCATGATAATGGCAATGTATATTTGTGGAGAGTTTTCTTGATACACACTGAAATTATACCTGTTAGCATTAGCAGAAGCTAGGCTAATTTTCTGTGACACTGCACTCTCTTAATGTGGTTTTCTTTAATTAGAAAAACATACAAAAAGTAGCTGTTACCACATGGCCCCAGAAAGTTAGGAAAGAAACTCAACCATATTATAAAAGATTGAGTACCCTCATATCACCTCTGAGATCCAAGCTGTTTGTACTTATCTGTACTAGCTGGGAGAGAGGGGAGGGAAAGGAGAAAGAAAAAAACAACAGTAAACTTTATTTTGTTTATTTCTTTTTACAGCCATAAGTGAAAAATGAATTAACTTATTTTATTTTTATAGGAGTTGTGAAAACATAGGAGTTTTGTCCAGTAGCCTGTGGAAAGCAGACAAATCACAGTCAATGGCTGATCTCATCATTGCATAAGGTCTTAGGGAATGGAAATCTTGGCCCACAGTGAAATACTGCAGCGCTCATTAAAGCTCATGTGAGATATAGGTAGATTATATAGATATAGACATAGATTATAGATTATGGACTAAATATAGATGTAATGTATAGATATATATATGTCTAGATATAGATGATATAGATTGCATAGATGACATAGATATAGATGATACAGATATCAAAGGGAGATGCCAACTCATCATGGAAGTAGCTGTGGTTAAGTAGGAATGGAACACCTCTTTCTTCCCACAGAGGCAGAAAAATGTGCCAGAGTAGGATAAGAGCCATAAGTAAGGCCTGCAAGTAACCATATAGATCAGTCTAAAGCAGATTTTGAGTATTGCGGAGAGCTGCTTCCCTGGTTTTAAAGGCAAATGTGGACAGGAAGCTCCTGACCACATGTGTTTGGATCCATCCTCAAGTCACTTGCTAGGGGCCAAGTTGTGCTGAGGGTTTTCAAGCTCTAAAATCCCTGCCGGAGAGGCATTCATGAAGTTCCATGATGGCAAATGGGTTTTCAGATATTTTTACTAGAAATATTGTGTAACTGCCACAGACTGGACATCTTTACAAGGACTGGAATTTGAAATGGATGACATTATGAACTACACTATTATTTGCAGGGCAGCTGGACAAATGGATTGTTCTTTATGAGCACAGATGGACTTATTTCATAATTTTGGTGACATAGATGATGACACAACAGGTTAGCACATACCTCGCTGCCAAGGACTCACATTTGTTCCTCTCCCGGTCTTCGCTTGTTTGATAGATAGATTTTTTTTATTTTTTTTTTTTGAGTTAGCAACCTTTTGTTAGTTGCTTAGTCGATTTGAAAGAAACTAGAGGTTAGCTTTATTTTTTTAGTGAGGCATTACTTCAAACCTGAATGCAAACAAGTACCATCACTGAGCTGAGACACAGTCAATGTGCACAATAGATATCATGAGGTACAAATTGCTCTTTAGGAGAGATTGTGATAGGTATTTAGTTATTATTCTAATAAACTATAGATGCCTCTACTTTAAGTCAGCTTAATTTTCTGTGCTTATGAGACACGCTCTGAAAAGAGAACATAAAACCATAAAATAGGTTCTGTCTTCCTGCCACATTCTGGTCATTAGATGAGATCTGTCCCTTCAAAATCACATTTTCTGCCACCATCACTATGTGTAGGGGATTCGAGGGTTTATTCGTTGCAACAAGGCACGTCAGCCATAAACGTATCTCTAATTTGCCTAATATGTTGTCATTCACGCGATTTAATACAGTTCTACAGCAATTAGGTGACAATTTCCTCAATATGAGAGAAAAAGGCGTGCCGCGGGGAATAAAATAGCACGGCTAGAGCGACAAGAGAGGAGAGAATACATAGACCACGCAGTCCCAATAAATGATAATTTCTGGTGGCTTTTTCTCTTCCGTCGCAGTTTATCCCTAATTTGCGGCTCCCGTGCAAACCACAGCTGCTCCGCACCATCCCCACCCCCACCCCCCCTTACCTATCCCCGGGGTGGGGGTGTCACAGAGCGATCTGGGGGTATTAAGTGGTTGCACACTGTCGTTTCCATCTTTACGTGCAACGGCTTCAATCTTCATTGCGGGTTCAGCCCCATTGATTTCTCTGCGACTTTAGCCTGGAAAAGAAATCAAATTAAAAAAAAAAAAAAAAAAAAAAAAAAAGCAAAGAGCTGCATTTTATGGAGTTCCTTCATG